ATAGATAAAAAATGTCTTCAAAAATATGAGAAAACGGCCTTCACTTTTTGTGCTTTTTGGTTGTCTCATTCAGCCTATGTGGATTTTTCCCTATTTGACTCAGTTACCTGGAATTGGAGAGCTCTGCTCCAAAGCTATCCTTGACTTTAAAAAAAACCAATTTTTTTTTTATTGTCCATCTCATATCCAGCAAAGAACTACTTTATCAGCTCTTGCTACTAACCTAGTCCTTGCAATACTCCTGGCTTCAGACTCTACAAGTGGTATTTTTCTGGGATTATTTTACAAGAAAGGTGAATGATTCCTCTTTGTATTACTCTTGTCTAGGTTTGTTGGATCAGAGAGATATTTTTCTAACAGGCTCTCCATACATGCACTCTACTACCAGACTCAGGGCAAAATGAAGGAAAAAAAAATAATTATGTGTCTGTATTGAGAAGAGAATAAACATTGTATAACTGTATGGATATATTCCACTTGCTTCAATTTTCAAAGAAATTAGTGAGTTATTAACTGAAAAATTCAGACATTTTGAAATATATTACAAAACTTTTTTCTGTTAAGTGCTTTGGTGGCAGATGAACTTGGGAGGCAGCTGTAATTAAAAGTCGTTTTTGAAGGCTATTTAAAACATGATCTGTGACAAAATTACCAATTTCTTTTTATATGTAGATTATGACCAAAGTGCTTTTGTAATTTCCTAAATCAAGCAGTGCATCAGGTATTGACACATGTAATCTTAAAATGATTACCAGAGCCTATTTAGGCTCTTAATACACATCATTCAAATTATCTGCAAGTCCAACATGTTTATACAAAGCTTTTCAAATCATTCCCATTTTTCTGCTGGGTGCCAGTCTACCATCAAATTTAATGTATTTTCCTAATGGGAGCAAAGACCTTTCTCCCAAATCTTGCATGCATTGAATGGAATGGAGGGTTTTTTGTGGATAAAGACTTTTTTTAACTCGAAGTCCTGATGAGTCTCCCCTGGGAGGAGCAGCCGGCCTCTCTGCACCCTGCAGGCAGTGATGCTTTGCTGCAGGACTGCAGGGCAGATTTCTGGAGATGCATTTGTTCCTCACAGCTGACAACCACATGAATTTCACTTGGCTCCACCACAGCCATGAGATAAAAACATCAAAGAGTCCCTGGCATATCACACAGGCACAGGACAGCTCGGGAGGGACCTCTGGAGCTCAGCCAGTCTGACCTACTCAAAGCAAGCCCAGTTAGAGCAGTGACACAGATCCACCTGGGATCACAGGATTCCGCACTGCTTTGGGGTGGAGGGACCTTAAATCCCATCCAGTGCCACCCTTGCCATGGCAGGGACACCTTCCACTGTCCCAGGCTACTCCAAGCCCTGTCCAGCCTGGCCTTGGGCACTGCCAGGGATCCAGGAACAGCCACAGCTGCTCTGGGCACTGTGCCAGGGCCTGCCCACCCTCAGTGGGTCTCACTTTCCTGAGGAAGGAGATGCCACAGCCTCTCTTGGCAGCCTCTTCCTACCTCCCTGATCACCCTCGCAGGTAGAAAGTTTTTCTGACATCTCCTCAGCTTTTGCCACGGCCCAACACGTGCCTGCTGTCCCCAGTGCTGTCCGTGGCTGCTCAGGAACTGCCTGATTTTGTCTCTGCTCTCCCATCAGGTACCTGCAGGCAGCTCCAAAATGCCCCTGAGCCTTTTCTTCACAAGGTTGAACAAATCCTGCTGCAGCTGCCTCCCCTCATCCATCATATGCTCAGCTGCCTGACCCTCTTGGTGGCCCTGGCTGGACTTGCTGTGGTCCTAGAAAATCCTGTTCTTTGGAGATTTCCAGCCATGATGGGGAAAAAATAATGCTGTTACGTGGTTATTCATCTAAATGAGACCAAAGGCCTTCAATTAGGGATAGCAATAACAGAAAAATCTTATATCTTGTCTCTTTTCTCATTTAGAAGGTTGAACCCAATCAGAGATCCACCTATGTGAGAGATGCAGAAAGAAATCACCCACAAGCAAACACTCACTGCACTGAAGTTGAAGAGAACTAATTCTCTCACCAGAAAAGCAGGTGAAAAGCAGTGCATGGCATAAAGCTCCTCCACGGTTATACATATATATGCCACACTTCCAATAATTTCAGGCCTGAAATTTTGGGTTATCAAATCACTTCTGTTGACCTGGTACAGCACACTGAAATTTTAGCCAGAGCACTAACAAGCTCTGTAAAAAAATAATCTCCTTATGCCCCACATGAACCATATCCTGTGCTGACTCAAGCTGACTTTCTGAGCAAGATGGTCTCTTCAGCAAATATCCAGTTTGACTATTTTAATTTTAGCTAGATTCACTACATCTGCTAAAACCTGTACTGAGTTAGCAGGAACAGGAGTAATTCACAAGCAGAAGTGCTGCTTGTACATTCCCCAGTAAAATGCAAGGAATATGCTTTTGATGATATCTCAGAGCAAAGGATGACTTCAGCAAAAGAGATTTAAGGGAAGAAAACCGACAGAAGCTTTGTGACATGGAGAAAAAATATGGATTAAATGTATCAGAGCTGTTGCTAATAGGAGCTGACAGAGCTGCTGAGATAGCTCAATGACCTGATTAAAGAAACTGTGTTCTCTGTCCACCTCTACAAGATTTCATCATAAATTATTTCATTAACTTGGTAGATAGAGACTCCCTCCCTAAAACAGATGTCAAATTGCCATGTAGGCAATCCTCAGGAATATATAGAGATAACACTGAGCCTCATTACTTGTGTGAAATTGAAAAGAAAAACATCCTTAGGTGTGCAGGCTGAAACTGAGAAGTCAAGAAACATTACATTGAATATATGTTTCAATATTGAAACATTAATATATTAATGTCATTATATATATTCAACATTGAATATTGAATATTACATACTTGTAATGCAAGAAAAAATACCTGAAACACTTGGGTCTTCAGAAAGTTTTAGATTGCTGTAAATGGTCATCAAAAAAGTGTGAAAACATCATATATTGACTTCTGGAAATACAATAATCTCCCTTGCTCAGTGCCAGCCTTTTCACTGATCCACTCACTCTCTACAAAGCTTTTAATATGCCTGAAGTTTGGTAGCAGCATCTTTATTAGCTCATATCCTCAATAAACTTGAATTGAACCCCCTTATTAAATGCACTTTAAGGCCTTTCTACATCTTCTTAATCTAACTTATTAGAAGTTGAATAAGTTTTCTAGCTTCTCTCTATTCCTAGAACTTCTCCAAGGAAATCTTGTTAATGTACATTTAATTGCAACAGCTCAGCCTCAGTGTTCTCTATAGCAACAAATATGCATCGGCTGCGTCTGTCAAACCTTCCCTCAGCTCCTTCCTTTCTGCCTTTTATGGCCAAGCCTTTCACACAGGTTTTCTTTTGTACAGTCTTTCCCTCTATGGATCTAGATAAGAAAAGATCTTTCAATTATTTTGATGAGTTCTTCACTCATCCTGTAATTTTTCTCACATGCATCCAGCCCATGATGCTGCATATCCTTTGCTTGAATATCATGAATAGGACAGGAGCAGGAGAGCCCAGGATAAAAACTGGAAATTCCTTAGTCTCATCCTCTCATTTTGCTTTTTCTTCTTCTTTTGTTTTTTTAAACTTCACATTTCCTTGCTTGTATTATATGAAGCCCAAAAGAATAAAAAAGAAAGATTTTATTTGAAGGTTCAGTGTTCCATCATAGAATTTTGGTAAAGAAAGGAAGAAAAACTCACAGAAAAGAGAAAAATGAAAATAATGTCAGAAGGTCTGAGAGGTGTGTTAGAGAGGGGTTCTCTCTGAATCATGTTCTACTGACTTTGTGTTACAGCTTTTGCTATTTCTGCACACTGCTTACACTTGGACAGACCATCAGTAGCCAACCTGGGAGAATACAACATTTAAAAAAATCCAGTCCATTAATTTATTTTCAATTTGCACATGAAAACATTCTGTGTACATTATTTCAAACCACACAGGGGACAGTTCTCACAGCCCTGCCTGGCAACCAGGGGATGGGAATGAAAATATCTCCCCTATTAAATCTGCTGAAAACACGTTACAGGCGCACGCTATCAAAAGAAAGAAAAGAAAGGTGTTTTCAAAAAAAACCCCCCACGAGTGTTTCACTGTCCGTGAGAAATCAAGAGCAGGATGGGAAAGGCTGTTTACACAGGCACTTAGCCAGGAAACTGTGCTTGCCACAGATCCAGTCATTCAGGGAGCACATCTCCGATTTTCCTGAGCTCCCTCCCTCTTTTCTAGCCCTGAATTATATGGAGAAACCCATCCGTAGGTGAGAAAACACAGCCAGTCCTGCACCATGCATTCAAACGCTGCCTCTCCTTTAGGTAAGTGCTACCACACCGAGGCCATTTGTAGGAATTTTACACAGCAGGACAAACAAACGCGGAGCCTTAAGGAGACGCGGGAGCTGCGGGAGAGTTTCGCAGCGAATCGCCACCAAAAACCCGCCTGGAAGCATCGTCTCTAAACCCCCCGTGAAAAGCAGCATTGCTAATTAGCAGGCTCGATGGAGAACGACGTGAGATAGCTAGAAAGTCTCGTCACTTGATTTGTGCATGCTTCCCTGCATCTTAAGTTGCAGCCCGGGCTCCCTGAGGATCATGTGAGGCTGGGTTATATATTGGGAGCCGCGCTGGAGAGCTGGGAGTGTGTAAGCCTGGCAGCTGGGGAGTGTTATGGTTGCTGCTTTCCTGTGCTAAGCTGATTTACTTGTTTAAGGTCTGACCTCATCATCCTGTCAGTATGGATTCCCACCTATACAGCTAACAGCAGCTCAGCATCGCCTGCGAGAGCTCGCGGTGCATTCATCAGGAGAGAGAGGGAGAGAGCCACCGGTGTTTGTTCTCCTGTTGTCTTTCCTTAAGAAGAGGAGTTGAAACAGAAGAGATAACAAAGAATCCATTTCCTTCCTGAAAGAACAGGCTTTTGTCTATTTTTTTTTTTTTTTTCCTCTCTCTCTCTGGAAAAACCATGTCAGTCTCTGGAAAGAAAGAGTTTGATGTGAAGCAGATCCTGAGGCTCCGCTGGAGGTGGTTCAGCCACCCCTCGCAGGGCTCCGCCGGCTCCGGGGGCTGCCACCAGCAGGAAGGCTACGAGCACAGGGGCACTCCGGTGCAGAACAGGTTGAAGAGCCACTCTCGGGACAGAAATGGGCTGAAGAAGAACAGCAGCCCCGTGCACCACAACATCCTGGCCCCCGTGCCAGGGCCGACGCCGGTGCACCACCGCTCCATCCACAGCTGGCACCAGCAGAGCCTCATCGAGCAGCTGCGCCCCAGCCAGGAGAGCCCCAAAGCCAGCACCGAGCAAAACTCCGGCAAAGAAGACTCAAGTAAAGCCACACAGGAGCTGCAGATGATCACAGAACAAAATGCAGATGAATCTGCAGAGAGGTAGGAGTTTTAGAGTCTGCGCTTGGGAAGGCAGACTTGTTTCCAAGTTATTCCCTAGGACTGTATTTGTTTGCAGGCAGAGTTCCTTACTGCATTCATCTCACTTTATGTCTGTGCACACCCACACTCAGAGGAGAAGGAACACTCCTGCATCAGAAAAATGAATAGAAACATTGTTATGAAATTGTGATCTTTGCTTAAGGTACATCATTCCATAACTCTTCCATATGCATACAATCTGCCAGTTTGTCAAATTTGCTCTACCAACATTCACAGCATATCAATTCCTTCTCTTGATTTATTGTGTGTGAGTGCAATGAAAAAAGGAGCCTCCTGACATCCTGTCCTCATTCTGACTTTATCAATGGGTGCAACTTTGACAAATGGGAGCTGCTGGAGGTGCATGGGCTCCGTGGTTGCCATTGATCTCTCAAATTCCTCACTGATTTTCTTTTACTGTCTTCCTGGCAAGTAAAATTAACCTTGAACTAAGTGGAAAGGAAGCATCATTCTTTGCTTTTTTTAAAGGTTTGTCTGAAATCCCAGTACTTTCACAGCTTATTTAGTAGGCTAAGACAAATATTTTCTGCAAGGTCAGGTGAAAAAACATTACAGCTGGCTATGAGACCTTAAAGGTGTAAGCACAAAGGAAGAGCTATTTTTAAGTTGTGAATAACAAAGAATACAATGTTAATACCACTTATTTAATTATGGGGGTTTTTATGTTTTCTTTTTCAAAACTCATGTCAGTATTTTTAGTTTATCCAGTAACATTTTTACCCCACCTTTCCCCACCTTGGACTCAAATCAAACATTTATGATATGATTGTTTGCATTGTTTGATGAGATTGCTATCAATCTTTGGACATAATTTAAATGTATTACATTGCATTTAAATACAAATTTATCTCACTTGAAGTTACAGTTCTCTCAGTAAAAACCAAGCTGACAGCTCGCATATTTTTAGCAGTTATTATTTTTCAAGTTGTGCATCTGCTGTGGGGAACATCTGCAGATGGAGCAGCAAAAACTGCATTCCAAAATGTCACTTGGAAACCAGTCCCAGTAGTCAATAGGTACCAGATAAAATCATGACAGAATAAAAGCACTGAGGAAGGACTGTGGGAGTTCTGTTGTTTCCAAGGGTGCTGGTTTGAAATGGGGAAGCAGCAGAGCCTCAGTACAATATTCCAAATGATAGTACAAATTTCCTGAAAAAAACCGTAATTTTAGACACACCTTAGAAGGAAAATTGATTTAATTTGAAGAAAAATAAGGAACACTTAGTAATCTAAATAAGATTCTACACCATGTGAAGAAGGAGGAAAAAAACCACCCCTAATCAGTTCAGTTTGGAGGTTATAAACCACTGCCTTCTAAAATAAGATGTGACATTTTCTCTGTCTACATATAAAGTTTCTGCTAAGACCTCCTGAAGTTCTGTACCTTCATATCCATTCCAATTTAAGTTCTGCTCTTGAGCTGTTTAAAGTTGCAGCTTTTAGGATAGTTTTGGAACTGCATATATCATATATTGTTATAGTCAAATAAGTGGGTTTCTTTAAGGTTTCAGTAAAGGCCATCATTGCATGCTGTAGATTAAAGTCTATTTTAACATACATCTTCAAAAGCTGAATTGGTAATTGATTATTTATAAAGTGATTCATGGTTATGAGTTTCTCTAGAATTAAAATTTATTTCAAGAAAATACAACTGACCATTAAGGACAATGCAGCTCAAATTTCTTAAATATATATCAACAGAAATCATCAAGTAAAGCTCTGTTCCCTTCCCATACAGCATCCAGCACAGGCCACACGTTAATTAATACATTAATTGGCTGGGTAAAAATGAGATACTGAGAAGAAATAAGAAGAAGCAGCCTTATAGCTACATCTACCTACATCTAGGATGTAGATATTGATAGCTGGATATATTTTCATCTCTTCAAAACAATGTCTCATATTTAAAATTGTACCTTTACATCATTCCCGGTCCCCTTTTCCTTTAGAAGTTCCAGATAGTCCCAATCAATGGTAATCAATGGGCTCTGCTGGTGATTAGCACACAAAAATCAGGTTTTTGCAGGATCCCCTGAGCCCACGTTCTCACACTGCCAAAGCCACCACAGCAGGGGCTGTGCAGGTATTTCAAATGTCAATCGAGCAAATTTCACATCCACACCTGAGGACACCAAAGATAAATTTGCCTTTAGACCACAAAATCTCTGCACCTTCAAAGCAGCTCTCTCTCAACCAGTGGATTTTCTTCTGTCTGGAGAAGTCCCATTTTTAGGTGGATCTCTAGCAGGACTCTGCTGAGTGTCACATGGACATCCAAAATAGTAGAAAAGGAGAAAGAATCTGGCTAACACCTCAATCCTGAGCAGAATATAAAAGCAGAGTTTCTACTAAGAGTTTAATGCTTCCTATGGAAAACTTTAGAAATGTAAAAACAATATTCTGAATTTCTTCAGAAAAACTTGAGCTTTCTCTCAAACCTCAGGACTGAATGCTGTCAGTGATGGACAGAGAGCACCCTGGGGCTTGATGAAATAAGGGTTGGTTACTGAGGAGGAAAGTTAAATAATACAGTACCAAACATGGTACAAGCATCAATACTCTTATTTCTGCTTCCTTCAACCCATTTTGGTATTCTTGTCCCCAGATAAAATAGTGCAAGACTTAAAGAAACCCTTCTGGTCCAAGGGTTTGCTCCTGAATTACATCCCACCACAAGTAAATGAGGCTCAAGTGATTAAAACTCATTAGTTTTGTTCTAATCATAATCAGTTAATGTGTGGTCAACCAATACATTTTGGGCATAAATAAATGGTTTATTGGCACAAGGGTAAGGAAAGCCTCTCAGCATCCTGGGGACTGCCTGGTCCAGCGCTGCTCAGGGAACCTGCTCAAAGAGCCTTCTACAGCCTTGACCTCCTCTGAGATATTTATGGAAGTTAGACCTGTAGTTTGGAAAAAAGATAAACAGCAGACAACCTTTATTGACTGACCTCATCTGATTCTCACCAATCTGCTCCTTGAGTGAGGACTGGCACCTCTGCATGGGAGAAAAAGAGAGAAACCAGCTCAAATCTGCATAGCCACCAAGTTGTTTTATTTGTAGATTTTATTTCCCAATGCAGCATTTTCTGATGTTACTGGGGTGGTCATCAAGGTAAACCTGTGGAATATGGTCATGCCAAGGAAGGGAAAACACCTTCAGAGATTTCAGGTTTGGCTTAAAGAGGGAGCTGAAGTGAGCTCTGTAAGAGCCCATGGGAAATAACCTGTGGGTGGCTCAGCAGGCAGGGCTGGGGGAGATGAGCACTTGAGCTGTCCTGATCTATCTGACATCTCTGATCTGTCCTACTGGAATCTTGTGAGGTTCAGGCTCCTCTGCCAGGGGGACCAGGAAGAATTTCCATTTCTTTCAAAGAAAGTGGTGTGGCAGTGGTCCAGAGGCAGCAGCACAACTGGGAGGATTTGTTTGTTAGATCTTGACAGTCAACAGAAACTTTGTGTGCACCCCATGGACACATCTGTGGACACACAGACTGACAAAGCACTGAAACCTCCTAAAAAAAAAAAAAAAAATTATATTGAATTACTTCAAGACTGAAACCTCCTAAAAGGAAAAAAAAAAATTATATTGAATTACTTCAACTGCTTCCCTTAAAAATTTCTGGGCTCACAGATATTGACTTCTCTGTGAGAGCACTGTGCCCAGCATTTTTTAACATTCTGCCACATTATCACCTCCCTTCCTGCATGCCTGCCAGGTTTGTGATTCCACAAGTGTGCTATTGCAGACCACGTGCACTGGTTAAGTATTTCCTAGTTGCCCAAAGGCACTTAGATTTCAAGAGTAAATGTAGCATCCGTTCATCATTTTTCTCCTCTACATCTTTTTTCTAATTATGTGGCTGAAAAATTGCTGACAAACTCTAGCTTGGGACACATTCTAGGACAAATGTTTTCTAATTTCCCACATGAGACAAAATATATTTCTAATTAATTCTAATAGTATCTTTTGATGTCATAATCCAGACAGTCATTACTGATGCACATGGAAACAGATACTTGGGAGGTGCCTCCTCCCAAAGGCAATCCTTTTCTGTGGTGGCTATTCTTGACATACAGCTATTTTGATAGTTCATCTCAAGACTTGAAAATTCACATTTTTTGGTTCTGGCACACATATGGAAATAACTATCAAACTATTTTCTTCACTGCCTCTGACAAATACACACACACACACACACACATGTACATGACTACTTCAGATGTTGTCTGCTATCTGAGGGTTTTGCCTTGAGTTCTGATTTTAGCTCCAGTAGCAGAAAACAGCCTTGGCTCCCATTCCAGTGTGAAATAAAGAAAAACAGGTGACAATTTTCCTAGTAAAAATGGAAGATATGAGTTATCCTGTGAAGCCACTGGTCAAACCAGATTGAGAGGAAAGTTCTGGGTACCCAAATAAACAGTGGAGCACAGGAATGACTGATAAAGCATCCCAAGGCAGCAGGGAAAGGGAGGACTGAGATGTGCCCTGGGCAGAGAAGGTGATAAAGGGCTGCATTCAGGGGGGAACATCACCACACTTCTTCCCTGTGGTGGGGAAGAATTCAGTTCCATTCCCAAAGTAAAGTTTAGAAATGACAATTCCCAATCGCACATCATGGCAGTCCTTATTTTTTAAAACAGAACTATTCCAATTTTATTTTCACTGAACCTCCAGCATTTTGAAAAAGCTTTCTAAAAAATTTAAGTTTAACCAATAAGTATTTTAGAAGCATGATAAAGAATGCTGGACATGTAGTCAGACAGCATTTCAATCCTTCTGTGACAAAGCTGGACCAAATAGGTTTAGGTGCTTCCTTGTTTGTCTACAGTACAAATTAAGCTCATTAATGCCTTGTTCTTTCCCCATCAGTGTATATATATATTGTGTATATACATATACACACACATTGTATAATATAGATATTGTTCTCCTTA